CATCGGGAAATAGCCGAATCTACTAGCGAGTAAATCAAAATTTGACCAAAGATGGTTAGAAATTCAAAAAGAAATGGTGGCGCGTAGCACAGATGAGTTCATTCAATTTGGAAGATGGAGTTTACAGTAAAGGAGTGAGTAACGATATAAGAGAGTGAGAAATGTGGAAAGTTTGGCTCTTACGGAGCTAGCGGATCTCTAAATGAATTATTATCTTGGTAGCGATAACGATGAAGACAGTAACAAAATTAGAATGATCTATTTATTATATTGGTCTTCGAGGCCGCCTTGCTGATAATAATATTATAATGATGATTATGTCAACAAAAATGCAAGTGATGGAGAGGAGATTCCGAGCGTTGTTAATTAATTAATTTATAAAGTTAATTATAATGGGATGGCTGTGTCTAGGATAGCATTAAAACTTACCTAAACGGAAGGTGCTACCTCGTTGAATGTTGGCAGCACCAGCGTCTCGGAACATTTTGTTCGCTTGATCAGCCTGTTCGCGTAGTTGATCCATTAAACGTGTCAGAATTTCTTGTCCCACAGCGCGCTTATCGAATGCCCATGATTCAACCAACGTAATGACACGAGCCAAACTACCACGATCACCGTTCAGAAGACCATTCATAAGATCTAGTGCTGGAGCGCTCAGCTGGAAGGACGGTTTGTTTTTGTTGATGTCCGACTCGAAGCCTAAGCCTTCCAGTCGGCTTACCTCGACTGCGTCTGTAACAGAGTCAAGTGACTTGACAGATTTTGTATTTGACAGCAGGGATAAGCATCTACGATGCAAGCCAGAAAAAGAAAGATTCAAGATGGAACGATGCGGGGATTTGATGGGCGAAATGAATAGATGACGCATAGTTGATGGCTGGAAGTCGAGGAGACGGTATGCTACATTAGAAGAGAAGAGAAATGAGATAGATTTTAACAATGTAGGTCTTGTCAACGAATTAAAGCAGGTCCTAAGAGTGAGTCAATATTTTGACCGGCCTAGCAACATTAAAACCAAGGTGTTGTGCCTATTAGTGTGGTCGCAGGTTTCTCTATTAGATTAATTCGGTTCGACGTTTTCTTTCAACTTGGTCGCGCCTAAAAAAATTTATCTGAATGTGCATGTTGTAGTGGGCCCTTATAATCGTGATCTCCCAAAACCGGACCGATTTCCGGGCAAGTTCCTGATCAGGAATACAACTAGGATCCGTTAAGCGGTCCGATCCTGGAAGAAAGGAATGTCATAATGACAGGAAATGCAGTATGGAATGTGTTCGTGAGTCTCCCTCGGATGAATTATTGCAACGACCGAATTGAATTCAATAATAGCTGAAACAGGCACTAACGATGCGGATAA